CACGCCAATCAAAAACAATCCTCAAAAGTTAACACATTGATTTGACCGGCTCGGATTCTATGAATATTGTGAAATATATGAAATTAAACTTCCCCGGTAAATCGAATAACTATTCCTCTCGAGATATGCCATTATACTAAGTCAACAACACAGAAAGCGTCGCGTCACTCAAATTACAATTAAAGTCAAGGCTAGAGCAGCGGCTAAATCCAAAGACAATCCACTAAAACAATTAGAAGACAAATTAAGCTTTGGAAAGATATTGGACAATTATTAACCGCAAAACAGCCGTTGCAAAATTTGTGAAAAGCAGACATTCAGAGTTTGCTTTTTAAATTATTTCCAAGCACAAAAAAAAAGGAAAAAAAAGGAAAGAAAAATATCATCCATAATTTGCAGGTAACATTACTTGATAATGATATATTATTTTGTTATTTTCGAGTGCTTATAAAATATTTTACATATTAAGAAATATTGTAAGTACTTACTTTTTTGTCAATATTACCCCGCGCTTCTTTTAAGATTGTACATGAGTCGAGTTAGGATTATATCATTAACACGCGGATTTTATTATTAACACAAGGAATTCTCGAACTATTCGAGACTTTGACAGCTGCGGGGTCTAAGAACAATTTGCTAGGTAAAAGTTGGTCGGGAAATCTAATATTGAGGTGTGGGCAAAATTCAGATCATTCTCAGATTTGTAGGCGCAGCTTGAAACGGCCATTGTTTTCGGCTTTCTGATGAACTTTTTCTCTGCCCGCATAGAAACTTTCACACAGACATTCTGTACTTAACACAAGTGGTAACACACAATGCCATGGTTGACATCGGTGAATTTTTCCACGGTTCCAGTTAATTATGGATTTCTGGAAATTAAACTTGGAAGCCTCACCCTAGCCCGAGCAGAGAACAGTGGAGAGTTCTCTGTGGAGGTTTCTGCTCGAAATCGCTGGAACTAAAGGACTGAGTCAAAATTATCGAAGAACGTTTAGTACAATCCATCGCATGGTCTCATAACAAAATGGTCCAAACAATGCAACCCCAAATCAATTGTGGGACTCGGCTAAATAAGAAATTGACAAACTAATTCAAGCGATGAGAGAAACTTAAATTTCAGTGTCAACGAATCGATGCTGTCCACGACTACAAGGTTAGAAAAATACGTTGCTGTAATTGCTAGTTATCGACTTTTCTGAAAGAAAATCGTCCACAGTGTACAACGATAGGGCACCCTCTCTCCTAGCGTGCTGTTGAAAAACAACCAAAAATAACATTTTAATTATATGACTTTCAATTAAGTGGTTTACTCTCAATTAGTAGAACTAATAAAGGACAAAATGTTAATTGTTGGATTACGCACGGATATTTGTAATAACTACTAAGCGGCTTCTGGGTAACCTGATTACTTTGATAAATACGTTGGTAGTAAGACTAGAAAACATTTATCTGCGTTTTTCTGTTAAGAGCATAAAGTTATGTCCCACCTCCAGTTTCAGCGTTTTTTGTTTTATTTTTAGATATCGCTTCTATAGTCAATTTATAACGATAGCAAAAAATAGTCCACACAGAATTTATTAAACAAAAAGTTGCACATTAAAAACATTAAACGTTCAAAAAACTCTATGTAAATCAACACACACTTGCTTCACAGAGCAAATTGTTTGCCAGAAATTACCAAAGAGGAGGACGGGATAAGCATCGATCACGCACTTAAGTGCATTTCCTGAGCCGTTTAAAAGCCGTGTTCAAAGCAGCAAATGTATATATCTTTTGTTTATAGCTCCAACCCCATGTTGAACTTGGTTTCCAAAATCGGATGGTCGCACTGGGGCGCCTCGCTGTTGCTACTAATGTGTTTAAAATACGAAACTAAAAAGCTGCTGATTCTGACCGACTTTGGGTGACCCATATGAACTAAGCCCAAAATACTGCCTTCCTCCTTAATTAAAATACCATGGGCATTATATCTAACACTCCCCTTCCAAAAAAAAAAAAAATTCATTTTTGATCTTTTTGCGATTCAACGTGGTGAAATTCGTGACAAGGCCATTTTTTTATCTGGCTTTATTTTCTATAATCACCTATAGCGAGGGTGTCGTTACTCCGGGTTCGAGCTGTACAAATATGTCAACAATACAAGGACTAGCTGGTTCTATATAACTAGCAATTTCACCCACCTCGACAAGGCTGTGTCTATTTGTTCAGCTAAATTGAAACATTTATTCGACAGCCCGGTGGTCCTAAGAGTAATAATAGAAGTCAAATCCCACAACGAAACAGCCCATGCTGCACGTTAAATATCATTAAAAACTAATTTAGAAATATCTTTATAAAATTCAGTGAATTTTGTAATTATCTTGCAGTTTATTTTGAACTGTATGTATTTTAGCACAATTAGTGCGTATAAGGTTAGGGTTGATTTGGGGAATTGTGGCATTTTTTCTTTTTTACAGAATAACACTTTTTTTTTAATAATGACTCAGTTGAAATAGAAACATAATTTGACCTTCGAAAGATTGGTATTTTTTTCCTTTATTATCATCTAAAGATAACATATTTTCTTTCCAACAAATGCAAAATCGTCTTGAATATTTTGTCTCCTTATAAAATATATTCTAACTCTGCATTTTAATAGCTAACTTTTGGTACTATGATTTGTGATATCTCCAGAAAGAAAATGATCTGAAAATAGATTCAGCGATTAAATCCACATAAAAAAAGTCAAAAGCATAGCTGCAAATTTCGCATTTCCCGCCGCTGCTTTGATTCAGGGTGGCGAATATTATCGTAGAATTCTTCGTGTGAATTCAGATAAAATCTGGCATTTTTCTCGAGTTTCTGTAAAACAGTGAAATATATCGTATTTTCAAGTGGTGGTTGAACCAGATGTTTGCAGGGATAAATAGCCGCAGAAGACGCTCTGGTTTCCCTCGCTGTAGGAAAAAAAGAGAATTCCCGATTTAGAGAGGTGGTGTGCATAACCATTCAATATAGATATCAAATGTGGTTCCTTGGACCTACATGAACTGCAGTTTTTTTTTCTTTCAATGCACATATCTTAACCAATTAGTTTTTTTTTTCTATGCCTCTAAAATACGCTAATTGTAATTAATTTTTTATGTGTAGATTTTTCTTTCACACAAATATGCTACTGCTGGCGGTGGAAGGCATCTGACCGATACAGTAAGTTTATATGTGAATCTACAAATTGCAAAAGTCTTCAAAATATGTCAGCTTGCCTCCACGTAAAGAGGCATGTGATAGTTATATGATTAGGGACGGGTTAGGGGTGGGGACTGGAAAGCGAGCGTAAAATTATTCAATTACTGTGTAGAGATAGGCAGATAATTACCCCATGTTGGGCCAAGTAGCGGGAACCAACGCAGAGTTACGTAAGTGGACAGGGAGAGAGCAGCTCGCGCAGAAACTTGATCCCTCACCCCGGACTCCTCCACCTGGCGCGTCCGAAATTTGATTTGGGCAACACGATCATAACATGAATTTCTGTCCGAGGGAATTCTAATCAAAAGTGATTTTCCCAGTGAAAAAACTAAATACACTAATTCGTTTTAAAGACGACTGCTTTTTGATTTATTTTTTTCACATTTTTTTTCACTTCCTCGTGGGTGAAAATGAATAAGAGATAGAAGAGTCACGAAACGTGAATCATTCCGCCATGTTGGTTTCCCGTCTTCCCTACTGTTTTTAAATGGGGGCACCCGGTACACGATTAATTGCACATCTCATATGGTACACATGATTCTAGTTAGGGACTTGTTGAGGCAAATTTGTACCCCATGTCTTCAGCAAATGTCCGCGCAAATTCTCAGCTGACCAATTAATTAAGAGTATGGCTTCGAGGTAGGTTCAAAGATGGTCCGATTTTAACTCCCCTGCCCACCCTCTGATTGCTAAGGAAAGAAAGGACTGACTTTGGGAGGTTTATCCAATCACCGTGGAACAAAGCAGAGTTTGGTCAGTCCTGAAATGAGCAATTTAGACCCAATTTTCCGTCAGATTGCTGGGATGTAAAAGGGGAATTGAAATACGCGTGCAGTGGCCAAAAAGGGCTTACTTTAAAAGTTCCGCTTCAATTCACCCCGAGGAAAGCAAACATTGGCCTCATAGCTGCAAAGTACCGCTAATTGCATTAAGTAACAATGGACGCTTGTCTGTTTGGATAGCGGTATAAAGACATGGTACTTTCACTCTTTATCTACCTACCAATGAATAGGACAGAAAAGACTAATGCTCTTTCAATGGGTTTATAAGTTTGGAAAGCGTAAATTGCACCCAAGTTTTCTCTCGGTACTAAAACGTGATCTCCTCTGTCAGAAATTAGGAAGTTTAAACCCCAAAATGTTCATCTCGCTTTCTAAGCACATTAAAACCATCTCGCTCATCTTGCATGGAAAATTTTCTCCTGTTGATTCGTTTGAGCTTAATGCTCGTATTATTTGCATTGTAACCTATCCGTATAAAAGAAAAAGGTAAGAGGATTTTCTGTAGTGAAAATCCCTGAGATAAGGTGAAATAATCGCCAAATGACCACCCTCGCCTCGGGTGGAAAAGCGGTGCTTCACAAAAATCACTAATTCTTCAAAAGAGCCGCATCTGAGAAGAGCTTAAGAATAATTTCTTTCTAAAATTACGAACTCTTTCATTCGATAATCATGTTAAATTTGCCTGGGCTGGGTTTTATTTGATACAGAAAAAATTACTTTTACATTTTACCCAGTGACAATCACCCGAAATATCCAACCTTTTTGTCATGCTGTACCTGAATTTCTAACTTAAATTTTTTTTCTTCGCCTCCAATTTTATTCATCCAATTTACATGATTAAGAAAAATTATTTATATTTCTTCTGATCAAATTTGATATTAATAGTCACCACTATAATTTTGATTTTTTTAAAAATTGATTTAAAATTTGATTATATTAGAATAAAAATCAGTGTGTTAAAATATTTAATTTCCACACTCGAGTTTTTTTCTAAAAAGTATAAAAGCATGAATACCAATAAAATTAATATTTTAGTACAAAATGTTTATTGCATCTTAAGTGCATGTGACTAAAACTATACCAATACGCTACAAAACACGTACATTTTTTTTCTAGGAGGAACAAATTGAATTGTGAGTATACTGACGACTTGCTACTACCAAATTCTGTACATTTATCTAAGAATAATATAATAATAATATTTATAACATGTGTAGCAAAAAAGAAACTTTGGTATACTGCGTAGAGGATGTTCCTTAACTTATAAAAATATTTAAATATCTGAGTAAAATCTTTTTTGATTGTCTCGATCGCCTTTTATTATAATTATAATATTATTGTTAGTAAAAAGAGTGGAATTGTCTCTTCTTGCACCCTGCTCCATTACTCCTGAACACCGAAATAAACGGTGCCATCAATACTCCTTAACATTTTGAAAAAAAGTGTCCTTGCACAGATTAAATGAAAAAGTAAAAATAAAAACAATAACTGTAGAACCGTGTACCACATTTTTTTCGACCGTTAGCTCATTTTCCTAAGATGACACTACATACACACGCGCTTAAACGGCGATAAACCTTAGCAAGAAAATGTGTGATTTAGCCCACTAGATTTGTTGACATCTGGATTATTATCAGCTCACCTTGTTTACTGAGAATACACGCACCTATTATCTAGTGCTAAAATTAAAAACAACTGATAATAATACTACCAATCAATTCCTTAAGGTGATAAACCAACAACGGACCAAATCGAAGTTATTTATGATACAATTTAGAGTTTGTATATGCAGGATCTAAGTACAAACAAAACTACTGCAGATCCCGCCGCCATATTTTTTACAAAAAAAAATTTGCTCTACATGCAGAGCTCAAGATGGATTTAATCCAAATTCAAAAATATTATTTCGACCTAGATCTTCGGGTGAGCCCGAATATTATTGTCAGAAAATTAATGATTTTTCTCCACACATTACCTATAGGCTAGCTATCACGGGGTTTATCTGGCGAATTTCTAATATGGTGACAGTATTTCTGTGGTACAAAAGATCTCAATAGACTTGACTGTCTCTCTCTATACTGTCTGTTTGAATAGATCACTTGCCCGCCTCTTTCAACAAATTGTACAGCAAAATAAACAAACTGAATGACGGGGTAACTGTCACAGATAAAGTAATTTTACGACGCTTCCTGTCCTTTTGATGACACTCGCTGGTCCGAAAACTTGAGACATATGTTACCAGAGCTAGACACAGAACTTTTGGACGTAAATTTGGAGTCCATTTCATCACGTCCTTTACAGCTATATAAACTTAATGCTTCAACCAGAGATTCAAATTAATCATAACAACACCCTGCGTGCCTTATACTTTTACTCTCCACTCACAAAAATATTCACAGAATTAACTGGGTTAAATTTTCACCAAATTAAATCTCATATACATTTTTTGGCAATTTTTGTGGCATACAACACGAACTGTATTTTTCAAGGATCGAGTATTAAACGCCTGTCAAGAAATAAATATAATTGGACAGAATTACTAAATAATTACAACTTGTTCTCAGTAAATAAATATCGAGCTTTCTTGACAGAACACCAACACCCGCCGCAAAATTCCAGCACGTTTTTCAGTGGAAAATTCATCCCATGAAATTTCTGTGAATTATTTTGCCTCGGCAATGTGATCATTTGGGTACTTACAGGCAGTAAATTAACAACATGCCGTGAAGTAGAAGTAGTAGGGCGTGAAGTCACAGAGTCACAAGAGTTCACACTAATATTTGGTACAGTCATAGGCGTAGGGCGAAGTCTTATATGGGCCTCTGTAGGCGGCAAGCTGACAGCTGTCCGATGTCGCCGTCTGTTGCGCCGTGGAACTGTACAGGTAAGAGTTATTAATGTCCGCGCCTCCATGACTCAAATCCGTCACATTTGAAGCAGGAAGATACCAGGAATTGGGTGTACGGGAATAGGCAGGGGCTTGGTGCGTCATGTTCATAGACAGCCCCTGGTCGTCAGTCGCCCCGGACATGGCGGCCATGGAGGGCATGCCAGAGCTTAGGGGACGCTCCCCTGGGAACACGGAAGCAGCTGCGTTGTTGAGAGCGGCGTAACCCATAGGGCTGGAGGTCTGCAGGGGACGGCCGTAGGCTGACAGGGGCTGGGGAGAGATCAACTGGGAAGACGCCCCCGGTCGAGAGACAGACGTTAACATAGTCAGATCCGAGCTTTGTGTGGTCATAATATTTTCCACGGAAAAGTTGTTCACGGAACTCACCGCCACAGAGTCGTATGTTAGCGGGTCTGGCGGAATAGGGAGAGAATTCTGCGAGGAGGATTGCTTCATGCCGCCATTACTCATCGAGTCAATGGGTTCGAGTTTGGTTTGAACTAAATTGCTTGAGCCCGGAGTGTTGGATTCGGAAGATACCATGAGATGCTGCTGCTGCTGTTGATGTTGTTGTTGCTGCTGTTGCTGTTGTTGTTGCTGGGATTTTAACTCCAAATCCGAGGGGTCACTTTCCCCTGTCTGTCCCTGAGAATCCCCATCACTCATCCCTCCATCAATCCCGCTTTTCTGTCCATCCGTGAACGACGCAGATGATTTATCACGCTCCTCGCGGTCCTTCAGAGCGTCTTTCTTCTTGAACCTCCTCCTGCGTCTCAGATAACTGCCGTTGTCGAACATATTATAGCTGTCAGGGTCCAGGGACCAGTAGCTGCCCTTCCCTGGCTTCTTGTCATCGCGAGGAACCTTGATGAAGCACTCATTAAGGCTGAGATTGTGGCGTATGGAGTTCTGCCAGCCTTGCTTATTTTCTCGATAATATGGAAACCTGTCCATAATAAACTGATAGATCCCGTTCAACGTGACCTTCTTCTCCGGGGCGCTCATAATGGACATGGCTATGAGAGCGATGTAGCTGTAAGGGGGTTTCACCATATCCTTGGGGGTGGTCTGGGGCCCGTACGGCTGGTGGCCGTAGGGAGAAGGCCTGTGCATGGCGTACTGGTCTGGATACATGGTCATTCCCGTTGGCCCCATGGACATACCGGTCGAGGGGTACCCCGAGGGTGACTGGTGCCTGTAGTAGTTCTGTGTGTCGTAGAAGGAAGGCATGCTCGGCACCATCCCTAGGCCGCTGGGGTTGGAAGGCATAGCAGTCATGGAGTGGGCCGGGTACCGCGTCTGGAGAGTCCCGCCCGCCTGCATTGGCTGCATGACAGAGCACATCTAAACTGAACACGTTCTTACGCGGTGGACTTCTTCCTCTCTTCCTACTATTATCTGGCTTTAGCGTCTTGCTTGCTGCCACTTCTTTCCTTCCTCCTTTTCACTGTGTTACTCGGTCTACCTTCACACTGACAGACCTATTTGATTGTGTGTGTGTTTATCTCAGAAAGATCAACTTGTAGATCTCCTTAATATTACTCCAGCAAGCCCCCTCTCACGTCAACATGGGCTATCACATGATTTGTTGTTATGCCAAGCTGCCGTATAAGGAAACTAAGCCCCACCCATGCGTGTAATCGGACCAATCACATCTCCGATTAGTCAGTGCTCGGCCACACACAATGGAGGGCTTTTCAGAATATCATAATTATGCTTAGATGAGCTTTTCAATGATTCGATGTCAGTTTGACTGCCAAAGCTAGAAAAACTTTGCAACTGAGGGCTGGGTTGGGGAAATTGACACTGCAAAGGCTGTCAAGACGTCCCAGTTCATTTTTGCCCTGTTATTTTGCCCCAGTTTTAGCACACAGGGAGAAAATGTTTTCTTTGTGGATATTTTGCTGGAAAATAAGCACTCGACAAGATCTAACATAAACCGATTATAATCAAATGAATACCCGTATAAAGAGAGACACTTACAAACACTTGTAAAGCAAAACATTATTGCTCTACTCGAGTATAGTATTGATGCATGATAAGAGAAAATAAAGATGTTCAGGCAGTGTGTTTGGAGGATCAATTTTTAAAGTAAGCAAAACCGGGACCCGAACGCGATAAAAACAACATATTCCTGATAAACCAAAGGCAGAGCAAGGTTGAGGATTTCAGAACTGACTTGGAAGCTGTCAGAGAAAGTGGCAGGCCGGTCTGAAAGCTATTGTTCCCAGACAACGTAAATGAGATCGCTTCTCTCACAGCTGTTACTGATTACCGGTGGCAGCAAAGGAAATCCCGGGTTACCGATGTCCAGGCAGGGTGCCGCGGCCACTGCCCAAATTTTGGCCATCTTTGCCCGAGGGTCCTGCAGCTGGACTCGTGTAGGTGCTAGCGGGGGACGATGGCGTTGCTGCTGACGGTGAGACAGCGACCGAGGAGCGAGCTGCCACTCCCGGACGAGCCTCCTCCCTTTCCGTGAGAACGTACCTGACAGATTTCCCACCGGTGTGCGACGCAGGGAGCGCGGGGGACATCAAAGTTAAGAGGAATTGTGTAAGTTTCACTAGCTTAAGTGTTCGGTACAGCGCTGTGCTAACAATGTCAAGGAGATCGGTCAACAATTAATGTGCTTAGATCTATTTGCTCTGCCTTTAAGCCGGCTACTGTAAACGCACAACTAGATACACCAAGGTGTTGTCGATAATACGTTTATAACTGCATCCACCCCTAGAGGAGACCCCTTTGACGGTCTTAAGCCTCCCTTACGTAGACAGGACAAACCTACCAAGACCCACGCGGGAAAAATATTCGTGCCCTTCCATTTACCGTTTCATTTGATTTTTGCAAAATTATTCTCCAGTGAGGCGTAAACGGAGAATTGGTCCGACCCTTTGGCAGCAATTTCGTGTGATTTCTATGCAATGTATTTGCGTTAGCTTTAAGGAATTGTAAGGCCTATTTTCCAGCCCTGTAGTCGGGTGTGAATAGGCCCCGTTAAGTGAATAGCGAGCGTGCAAAAGCGGTTTTGTCCGCTCCTCCAAGAACCTAGGGGTAGATCGCATTGTGTTTGTGCACATTATTTGAACAAAGCTCTGCTAACGGGATTCCGTCGATCTCGTAATAAGTTTGCTCCTTTTCGGTGGGCGTGTAGAGGCAAAAAGGGTGTAATGTTTGGAAAGGGGAGGCCGAACACAAATTGCCTGAATGTATTAACAAGCAGAAACAAGCCAATTAAAACTGCCTAGGTAACTGGTGTTAAATCGCCCAGGTAAATCCTAGCCAAAATAGCCCCGTGCCTCCCCCCGTGTAACACACACAGTCACACAAACGAACACGTACAGGTCGAAATGAACAAAATATCAACAATGGAATGTAAATTTACCCAGTGCCCACAAAAAGCGTGAGAAGTAGCGGCTAGGAAGTATCTAAGGCTGTTCATAAACATATTAGGTTATGAAGTGCCTTCGAGTAAGAGAGGCATAAATTTGGTGGCAATGAAGCAGACGACTCAACCGCACTTTGGCGGGTCAATGAGAACAACATTGGACCAACTGTCGTCTGCCCGTATCTTTCAGTATTGAATATCCCTCCACGTCCTTAGCATTTGTTTTAAATCATTCATGCTTACTTAGATGCGAAAACAGCAATGCTTCAACTTAAATATCACAATAAAGCCTGTAAATTTGTGTTAGAAATGAAATCTGTTTTCTCTAATAATAGAAAGTGTATAGTGTTAAATATTTAAGGAGGCTGAACTTGCGCCTTAGTTTGTGTATTCTGCCACTTCTGCAGACTATTTAGTTTACAACTTGTAGGCTAACGTGTTGCAAGAGTTTTTGGTCCATTTAGCTGGTAAATATAACATCGTTCGGGTGGTTGGAAGTTGTTATCTCTGTCAACTTACTTTAACTGATTTGCCTCTGATGGGTTTTCATACACACGCGCTTCGAGGTAAACCCGATAGAACGAAATGTGGCCGTTGTACAGAAAAAATAAGGTTTGTTTGAATCAATTATATTTTCTATTTTTTAGTCTTAATAAGGTCCGTGTTGAGTTTATCAATAGTATTATGCAGAGATATACTTGGTTGGTAGAACAACAAGCGTGAAAAAGGAACAGCGTTCGCTAACAGACGCTGAGGAATGATTGACAGGCCTTTCAATGAAAGTGTGAATGTGTGTGAGTACTTTAATGATATACGTGAGTTTTTCTCCGTGATTTATGGAACCACCACGCTACATGTTTTTATAACGTAGCCCCCCGACTTTCGCGGGAAAGGTGGAAATTAATTGTTCATTTCATGTCGTCTGCGTCCTTGAAAAGAATATAGCCTCGTCTCGCGCTCCCGATTCCGGGCTGATTTTTATCAACAAATCCCCACTTCATTAAAATTCAATTTAGTGGCAAATTTTACCCTGTTTATGCCTAATAGAAATCTGATTAAATTCGATTAAATTGTGGTTCGCTAAGGGGATACTGAGAATAAAACATCTCGTACGGAAGATCGTGCCCCCGGGCTTCGCTCTTTATTGAAGATGAAAAATAGTGTTTCAGCGGCTCACGTTTCGAACAACTTGGCTTGTTATGAAGCCTACCTTTCACCAAAAATGTGCAAGCCACGTGTTGAAGATTTTCGGCAGACGGTGCAAATTACTCGGCAACCCTTCATAATCACGGAAGAGAGCTATCATTCCAACATTCGCATCCCTTTCCGGCTGAAAAGGAGTCGCGGCGCGGCCATTTTTGTTCCAGTTTTCGTCGTCTGCGTCAAAACAGAAAATTTTGGAAGACAGCGGAAGACTATTGTCGGTGTACTCACAACCAAAGTGCGAATCTATTTATTAATTCTTGGTTCTTTAGAGAGGTGTTGTTGGCCGGCTTTGATATCCGCCCTCCTATTCAGTTCACCTAATGGGTACGCGTCCTCCCTTTGTTGGTCTTGGTGGTGTCAGTATTTTTAGACGGGATCTTCTTCCCCTGCCTATTGTTTTGTTATCTCTCTGCTCTCTCCACACAACAGGATGTGTACAGTAAACAGGAATGTGACGGCAGATTACTCCACAATTAGCAAGGAAGTTATTTTCATCTGAATTTGTAATACAGGGGGAAGTTTGTCACACCCCGTGCGTTTGATCATTCCTCCACTTAGAACACTATCCCCTGACTGTTGTTTTTGGTACCGAAAAGCTCTCTTTATCTTTAAATCATGATTTTAATCTATCACCATTATTTCATAAACAAAAAGCTGAAGTGATATTGTGTACGTTGAATTCATGAAATAGTAAAAGGAAATACAGGAAAACAAGTGAATATTTAAACGCTGTTCTTTATCTTCGTTGTTTGATTATGGCATTGTCAATAAGAACATTGTATACAAATTAAGAATTAATAATTCTTTTACAAATACTTTTAAAATATTTAAATGGACGCTTTTCCCCCAGCAATAGGAAAGCCAACCAAATATTTGAAAGGTATTTTAGTACACGCTGGATTTTATCACATTGTATTTTTTTCTGATTTGAATACTCGCGTATGATAAAGGCTGAGCAGGCTTCGTTTGCTTGCTGCGACCCTTTATTAAAGACACAATTTTTAACTTCGCCAATTTTGAAAGATTCTATATTCTTGTCCGAAATCAAAAACGCCTAGGAGACAAAAATGGCATCATTTCCTGAAAAGATGCTTTTCATTACGCCAGTCGCATTGTTTCCGTTAGAAATAATTCAATAAGTGTTGTCGATGAGGCTGTCCTTTTTACGTTTTCTCTTTCATTCTCTCTTTAAGATCCGCACAATGACCTAGCTGAACGAGAAGCCAAATGCCATAAAATAATAGATCTTTAAGATATCACTTGACTTATAATGTGCTCCGAAACAAATATTCATTCATTACTTTGTTTAATTATCATATCAGTATACAAAGGGATTCTTTCAGAGATTTATTTTTGTATGATGAATTTTTATTAATTTTATTCTGGTCTGTAAACCTATAAGTATCTACGATATTGCAACTGTTCTTTTGAGTTCAGCATTTGTGACTGCATTGGCACTCAAGGAAAATGATTTAGATAGGCAATTCCAAGTTGTATAATCTTCTAAGAAACAATTAAACTTTGACTTAAAGATAATTACAACATTTATGTGATGAATAAATGAATTATTTTCGCAGAATCAATTAGTCTTCAAATTAGTCGATTAACGATACGAATTGCCGGTCGCTATCACTAACAATAATTGCTGATAAAATAAATCTTCCTGGAAATTCTTCTCCTCGGAATTCTGACACTAAGTAGGGTTGTCTTGCACGTGGCGTGGTCACTCCCTGGAAGACCAGCTTCCCACCCATTTAATCGGTCCCTAGATACCGATCAACCTCCATTGTGCAAACCCTGGGTCCGTAAGCCGATAATCTACTACAATCTTTACCTGCCTATTAACTAGAGTACGCGCGTACAGCTCGTTAAGCTTGCACTATTATTATGCCGCAAGTGAACGCCGGTTTTATCCACCGTCCTGTTTTCTTCATTTAATTTTGTTATATTTGGTCTCTTAAATCGTTGATTTAGTTGGGGGGGGAAACAATGAAATGGTCTAGGCACAGAGAGATAAAAACATAAATATTTCGTTAACTGAAGTGTCAGTCAATTTGGAGATTATTATTATAAGACAAACGGACATTTTTGTTTATTTAGAAAATTAGTGGAGATAGTGTTTGTCTATTGATACAATGTTCGCGTTTCACCTGTTTACCGGCTAACTGCAGAGAGTCCTGGATGACACTTACTAATGCACTTAATTTCTTAGAATAGTTTAATTCCTCATTTGAAAATTGAACTATATTAATTTGATATTGCAATAGTCAAAGCATGATAAGGTACACGGTCTTCCTTCTTTTTGTCTCCAAAATATCTGGATTGTCTTCTTCTTCGTAGAAAAAGATAGATGCTGCATTGACCGTGAAAATGTTGATGTATGAAAATGTTGAAATGTATTCCTGTTTAAAGAATAGGGTGTATTTGTTTAAAAGCTGTTTCTTGTTATAAAGCAAACATGTAAAGTAGCGAGACGTAATAAGCAGATTTAAAAGATTTCGGATGTTTTTATTTCGGCATTTTTGTCACTTTTCATTGCTGATGCTTGCATAATACATTTCATCCTTTACAATTTTGCGTTATAGCATTGTCCTTGAATTTATTCAGCGTACCATGGATTATGCTGTATAACATGGCCGTATATATAATAACATGGCCGTGTATATATAAGCTATCACGTGCCGTCCTTTCCACTAAGAGTAAAATTTTAATCCCCAATTTAATATATTAATATTTGTGACATTTTGTCTCCCAAAGAATATTATAGAGATCTCGTTCAATGGTTCAACATGCTATACTCTATGATAAGTTAATTGCAAGCAAATGCACCACAGAAATATTGATTATGTATAATACAAATGGAAATGAATAAAATAAAAAATTTACCATAAAAATAAAAGAATAACGTTAACACTATCACAACGGATTATCTACAAACTCGGTTTTCACTTGTTA